TAATTCAAAGATATGGTGATGACACAAAATGGACTGGGATTGAGATAGGGAGTGACGAATGAAAAATAGGATGGACGGAAAGCCGAAGGTGTATAGTGAGATGTCGAGCATGACTGGAAAAACTCTCAACAACGGTTACATACAAGAAGATAGGGAAACGAAGGCCGCCAATATGCTCCGTCTTCGCGGCCACTGGTCCTTTTGCAGTGTTGTTGCATGTCGCTCCAGGACCAGCTCCGCGTAGGCGGCCCAATTTGAAGGCTTTCGTTCCCTTATCCCATACAAGATACCAAGAAAAGGAGTTTTTGTTACTGCTTCATAGACATGTGCCTTTGCACAGGCCGATGTTGCATGTTGGTCCGACCGAAAGATAAGGGTTCCTTCATACTACGCCGCAGGAATCGCTCCGAGAATATACGTTCACTGCGACGCCTTTTCGCTGGTTATGTATGTACAGACCCCGTAAAATCCAATTGCCCACGCGTCGCTTTAAACACCAACGCGCGGCGCGGCTGAAAACGTTTGGTCCCGAAGCGCTACAGGGTTTCTGCGAGCGACAATGAGCGCGCACCCTTTTTACACGTATTTTTTTAAGCTTTTAAAGGGAGCTTTTGTCAAGATATACCTTGCATTGAGAACAACATGAGATTTGAAGGAAGATTTCTTGAAATTCAGTGAACGCAGAGTCGTTCGCGACGACCGCTCGCTTACGCTGGTGTTCAAGGCACGGCGCGAATTAAGTTTTACGGCACTTATATCTTTATATCTCCTGCACGTTCACGTTCACATATATAACCAGCGAAAAGGCGTTGCAGTTAACGTATATTTTCAGAGCGATTCCTGCGGCGCACGCCGCACACGCCGCGCACGCCGCGTCCTGCGGCGTAGTATGAAGGAACTCTAGGCTTTCTGCTCAAATCGAAGTGCATTGATTGTGGGTGTATGTCAAGAGGCACGATTTTTATTGTCAGATGAACACCAATTAGCGCACTTTTAGTGTTTAATAGCTTTCTAAAAAACTTTTAAATTTCAGAAGAAATAGCAAAATCGATTCCAGGGGCTGTTTAGCCTTATATCTTGAAATAAATTCAGAAAATCAATATTGAAGGTCAAACACCCGCGCAACTAGTCGCAATTTCGTGGATATTTCGGTCAGGATTTGAGCAAAAGTCTGAGTTTGAATAATAGCAACATTCAAAAATAGATACAAAGGATGGACTACAATGGCGGGAATGAGGATGTAAGTGTAAGCTAGAGGCGAAAGTAGGGCTGGAAAAAATAACAACAAATTTGGGGATCTGCCGCACTCTACGCGAAGTGAGCTAAAGTAAAGGCTACTGCATGACGAAGCGCAGAAGCAGTATTAGTTAAGCAGGCGCTTACGCGACGCGCGCGTATCTTCACCGTCCGCTGTCATGCGCCCCATGCGCTCTGCGGCTAATAAAGTCGCGTTGTTAGCAGCAGCCTGTAGGTAGCTTGAGCCGTCACCGCCAACAGCCATTCTGCGTCTTAACCATGATTCCACTCTAATCAAATTGAAAAGTTTTGAGAAAGCCTATTTTACACTTTGGCCTAAGGATGATTTTCGGACTCAGCGTAGCGGATAAGCCCAACTTAAAAGCAGCGGCTCGGCGGATTCTCGACTGAAGTATATTTGCTTACCTGGGGTAATTTGAGGCGCTGATTCCAAAAATCCACCTTGAAGTGCGCGAAAATAGCAAAAACCACCATTTTCCAAGGCAAAAACCACCATTTTCCAAGGCCTCCCATTTTGAATTTGCACGAGTGGAGCACGTCCCGCCATGGTTAGAGAGGCAGAATCCTCGCAGTTATAACATTGCGGCATTTATTCTCTGACGGGTCAGGGAGCTCGTCCTCGCGTATTGGAATGGCTCACGCGTAACGGGGTTTTCTATGCAAGGGCAGCATGCTGTGCGCTCGGACCTGCTCTGTTCTCATGTTTGGGGTGCAAGCAACCTTCCATGTCAAAATTTTGGGATGTTCGGTTTTGGCGAGCTGCTGCCTTTAGCAGAATTCTAGAATCTATGTTTCCGTCTGGACACTGCTTCTAAAGGCACCCAAATTGATGACGGTAAGGTAATGCTGTATAATAGCAGATAGCAACCCAGTTAATTTCCTGATTAAGCTGCAAAAGGCGAATTCCGACGAGTAGATAACACAGAATATACAAGCGGCTAACACTTCAATTAGTCATCAGATTTTCGATGTTACTCTCTACTTTGAATCACACTTTCAACTCATTATCCTAAAGGATATTCGTCGACGACTGCCTCGACTCGTGCATTTACACCATCGTGGGCGTGCCATTTTGGAGCCTCAGCCTGACAGTGCGTGCAGCGCGCGAGGACTTTGTAGCTCATAGCAATACTGTCCTTTAACCTCTTATGTTGATTTAAGCATTTCGCACGTTTTGTGCTTAGATTTTATATGTTAAGCACTACTACTGTTAGACGTTACTTGTCATTCATTATCCCTTTCTCTGAGGTTCTCTCGACGATTAAAAATCCTACTTTCTCCTTTGATGAATACTGAATAGTAAGGAAAGTATTAGTTTGAGCACGTTTCCCGAATTCCTTTTCCTTTTTACCTACTATTCATTTTCAAGGTCACGGATCATCGTCCTGGGCAAAATTAGGTGAAAGGGTTCTTTGTTTAGAAGCAGTGGTGGCTCTCATGCATTTTTCTTAGACTAGTGAACCAGTAATCTAATGGCGCTATTTGAGAGCGTTCGCTTCGGGACCCGCCGCGGTTTCCCGCTATTGGAAGATTTTTGAACTGAGCTAGCGATTCTTTATATATTAGATAAAACCACTCGAAATTTACTTCAGCAGTTCTACATGATGTCCCTGATGTAGGAGTGCTGAAGTAACCCCTACTTCAGTGGTCTGTCCTAAAAAAACTTGTCAAATTATTATAAAACATTGACAAAAACATGTAATTCCAATCATAGCCATGATCTCACCACTGCAACTACGAAGAAGGCTCATTCCTTCTCTTAACTTGGTCTGTGCGATGGTCTCACATAAAGGTTAGAAAGAGTATTTGTTTGAAATAAAAACTAGAAGAAAAAAGATGAGAAATGCTTGGCAAACGAAAGAGATCAAAGGACAGGGGTGCTGCGAGCTACCAAGGTCCCCGTGTGCTGCAGCGTACTGTCAAACTGGAAAGGCTCCAAAAAGGCACGCCCATGGTGGTGTATTTGTACGAGTTGAGCAGTCGTCAACGAATATCCTTTACAAGGGAACGGCACTTAGTGTCCGTGGCTTACAATGTAAACATTACACTCGTCTTGGAAAGCTAATTCGAATCTGACTTCCGTTTCTGCTAATTTTTTTTCTGAAAGAACTTATAAAGCGTCGTAAGAAGTTATGTTTTCGCGGCAAGTTTAGCCGCCCGAGGGAAATATGATAAGCACACCAGTACCGCCGCTACGCTGTGGTGTAGTGGTTAATGCGTTCATTGCATTGCATTCATTCACGCATTCATTTTCGTTCATTTTCATTTTTACAGGCATTTTTTGAAATAATTGCTGGAAACATATAAAAACAACTCCTCGTTAAATTTTCAATGAGCAAGGGCACGCATTACCTCGAGACTGCCCTTTCAAGAAGAAGCTTTCTTGGGACAATCCAAAGCTGACAAAGGAAGTGTGTCTAGTCAAAGCGGCGTTTCTAAACGAGAATCATACCACTTCGAAGAGCATTGCACGGTGGCTACAAATCTGCCTCATTGTCTGCGCCTCTGGACGCCAAGTCACGACCGTTTTTGGAACGCAAAAGGAGTGCAGAATTCAAGTAAAAGCAATTGTTACAATCTTTCCAAGGTTCAGATAAAGCAATGTTAAGCATTAGCATACTAAACAAAATGTATCCATTGCATGAACTGCTCTGATACTCGACAGCTGACCATTTGAGCAGATTTGGACAATTTTACTCCAACTTTGCGTTCCATATTTGGACCAGAAAAACGCTCATAACTCGGCGTCCAGAGGCGCTTGGGAGATAATGAAGACAGATGGAATCACTGTGCTATACTCTCCGAAGCAGTATGGGTTTCACCTAATAAGGTCACTTCGACTATACACGCTTCTCTTGTGAGAAACACAAATGGATTCGAATCTGCACCTGCACCAATTTGTGAGGCTATCGCCCTGACAATACACCACATCGTATCGGAGTACCGGCGTGCCTATCGTATTTCTTGGCGCAAATTTCCTTCCTAACTTCTTTCAGAGAAACGATTAGCAAAAACGGAAGTCAGACTCGGAATCAGCGTTCCAAGACGAGTGTAATGGATATATTTCTCCTTAAAAGGCCACGGACCTAAGTATCGTTCCCTTGTTAGGACCACGTACATTGGGCGGGGCCACCTTGAACGCTTTCATCTCTTGAACGTTCTGGGGCGCTTTTCTCGTTTAGTAAATCATCCTTCCGCAGCAATTTGGGCGATCACTAAGGTTGGGCTCTGCAAACCTCATCATCCTCAATTTGGGTAGATGGCGCCTTTAGAGCATGGAATAATTTTTACACTTGGATCTAGAAGGCAGTGCGTATTCATGCTACACTGCTTCTAGTAAATCAAAAATTCGCCTTTCTCATCCACATATTTCCTCGTCCTCAAGGTACTCTTTTTCGGTCTGGATAATGTCGAATGGGTGGCTCAAGAGCGATTTTCTTCTGTAGCACCCTCCGCCTCCATCATATTGAGTTCCACGACGTATTTTGCTTGCTGAGCGTTGGCATGAGCACTGACATATGAAATTATGCTCAAAATAGATGTCAAATTGGCTAGTCTTATTTCGTATTGCAGTAAAATCAATGAGAAAAGAGTGCTTGATGCCTCACCCCAGAATCGCGTGCTAGGGGAGTGAGCATAGGCTCTTTCAGAGTGACAACAAATCTTTATCTTTGTTGGGCAGTATATCACGAACATGGAGCCAATCCTTTACTAGACGTAAGCGCAAGTGATGCTCGTTTCAGTCGGCGTCAGCGAGTACTGATCAACCTGAAGTTAGTGCTCCTGCCCGGGAAACAGCAAAAGTTTAGGTAAGCATTCATGATGACAAATATTTTTGAAATCACGGTATAAAGTATCTACGTTTTTTTTTCAGATTTCTTCTTCATTGTAAAGTAAACAGAAATAACGATAACACCATTCAGCAGCGTTTCACTCACATTCACAATAAAGATTCGAATTAATGTGGTTGCTTACATGATTTTCACATTATACGTCGTTCCCTTTTCGTACTGCGGGTTTTTACTACTTATCGACCCAAGACATTGAGCTATGAATAATCAGAGCAAACGCTCGCAAGATCTCTGGTCCTTGGTCATTGGTCTCGTGCAGTATAGCGGATTCGAAGAAAACGAGCGCGCATCGTGTTTTGAGTCATCGCACTAGAAGCTTATGCCTAATGAGAAGAAGTGAATCCGTAGAATCCTTACAAAACCTTTCGAATTCTTGTATTTATCAGTTTTACTGGACAGTAGAATGACTTGAAGACAAAAAAACCTCTTACAATTTAGACCTGGGATGAATTTAGGCTTTTCAAACAACAGTGAATTGTTTTACAGCTATTTGAGCAATTTCTAAATCCACAAAGATAAATGAGTTTAATTAGCAATAGAGGCGGAACCCTCTGAAAATCCTTTTGTGAGTAGCATCGATGGACGTGGAATCCGTTGAAGTCAAAGACTGTTCGCATTCACGAACGTTTTTCTTTCATGGAATATGGTGCGCCTAAACAGTCGTTTTCACTCAAGATTGGTTGGTACCTTTTATCGAATAGATTCCACTCAAGGAAACAGGAAGAACGGGTGAATAGTTTCTGATGTTAACGTGATTGATTGGCACATCAAAAAAAACCTCAATGTATTCTGCATTTACTGCTGCATTACTGCAGATTCTGTGCATCTCCCATGTTGACAATTTTTTTCAATCTAGTCAAGAAGTATGCTGCTTGAACCAGTGAAACGGCTAAATATTCCTATTCACAAATCGAGGTTCAAATACTATGCAGTTACAAATCCATATTTACTGCTGCTGTGACGCTGGGAACAAGATCTCTTAAGCACTCGCCATCGTCACTCCTCTACCCAAGATCTCTGTCAATCCTAAGCTCTCCGACTTTAGACCAATAAGTATCCTTCCGACACCTTGTAAGATACTTGAAAAAATTGTTGTGAAAAACTTATTGAAATGGCTAGACAAGATACAATGTCTCCCTCAGCAACAGCATGGGTTTTTGCAGGGTAGATCTACTGTCACTCAGCTTCTGGATTGCCAATTTGACTGGACAGAAGCGTTGAGTCGAAACCAGTCTGTTAGCGTCGTGTACTTCGACCTAAGTAAAGCATTCGATACAGTAGATCATACTCTCTTATTATCTAGACTAGAGAGCTTAGGAATTAGAGGTCTGCAGTTACGATGGTTCGAATCTTATCTGCAAGATAGAACATTTTCAGTCAGAGTGCATGATAGGATTTCGAAGGCACGATCCTGCAGGTCTGGAGTTCCACAAGGCAGCATCTTATCCCCAATTCTGTTTAATATATACACACTTGACCTTCCAACTGCTCTTATTACAGACCCTCGCATTGGAGTAGCTGCGTATGCTGATGATGTAAAGATCTATATCGCTTATGACCAGCATGATAAGGAGAACGCCATCATGGCACTGCGCAATTCTATCTTTCAGATGTTTGTTTGGGTAGACAAGTGGAAAATTAAAGTAAATCTTTCTAAGAGCTGCATTGTTCCTATTGGCAAAACTCCTATTTATCCGAAAGAAATAGATGATTTTCTTGAATGCAAGTCTACGGTCAAGGATCTGGGTGTTTATGTCGAATCTGGTTTGAATTATTCAAAACATATAGACGAGATTACTTCACGTGCCACTCGAATAATGTATACGTTGCTTCGCACTATTCAATCATCTGACCCTAATTTTCTGCTCAGAATATATAAAACCTTTGTTCTTCCAGTAGTAGAATATTGCAGCCACGTCTGGAACCCAACTTTGAAAAAAGATATCGAAAAAATTGAGAAAATTCAAAAAGCTTTTACAAAAATTGTGTTTTATCGCGCTTTTCCAAACCCTGACTATCCTCTTGCCCTACCTGACTATAAAACCAGATTGCGCAAGCTCGGTCTCAAAACTCTTTTCTATAGAAGATTTTTAGCTGATATATTTATGGCCTTTAAGATGTTGCGAGCTGAGGTAGGTTTGAAACCCAGCAAATACTGGGTCTTTCGGCCTATCAATGAACGTCGAGCCTCTTTTAATTTGACTATTTCTAGATTTGGACGATACAATGTTTCGCTACAGCGCAACAACTTTTTTTATCGAGCAATCTCTATTTTGAACAAACTACCGGCTTCTTTCTTATCTTTAAATTCAAGTGCTCAACTGAAGAATGCTTTGAAAAAAGTGGATATTCTACAACTATTAGGAATGGAGGACGTTGTATGATAATAACTTTGTACCATGTTTTGGAGATGAAATGCAAATAATTCTAGTTGCTATTACCTGCTTTCAAATTGTGTTCCTACGATGTATTTTATATAAATATAAATATAAACTCACGCGATTTAGTCGCGACGCGACTAGGCAATACTCCAATTTTTCATAAATCATCGTAAGGGGTTTGTGAACCTACTGAAGACAGGGCATTTTATCGACTTATGAAAGTTGTATATGCTGTGCATTTGGGGTCTGCCAGTATTGAATATGAAGACATCTGGACCAAAGAAACAGCAACCAGCAAACGATGACAGGAAAATAAACATAAGAGATTTGTCGCGTTGGAGAACCCTTCCTGATAAATGTGTTATTTAGAACTTCCCTAGCAGCTGTTGATGCATCTGCGTTGATGTCTGAACTTTTCAGCGTTGCTTTTGCCTAATTGTTTATCGATGACAATGTAACATGGCATCTTGCCAGGGAACTTTAAAGTAATCTGACCCAATTAGTATCGTCGTATGGGGTTACCAACGAAAAGAAGTAAAATTTCATAATTGCTAGATTAGAAATAGGAATACTAGGGTAAAAGAAGAAAAAATAGATGCGAGTACGTGTTTCAAGTTCGAACTGCCCACCGTTATCGTTCTAAAAAATAATGAACAAAAAGAGTAAATTTCAAGACAGTTCTTCCTTCCGGACCCTCCTCCACTTCCTTTCCCAAATAACACGATAAGTAATGACATTGACACCATTTTTCTAATGTTTCAGGTACTGAGAAGAGTCAAAATAACATGCGTTAGATCCATTGCGATAACTACCTTTATTTACATAAATATATGTACAAACAAGACGTAATTCTACTTTCAAAAATTCAAATACTCTTACATACGCAACATTGACTTACTACAAGAAACTCAGAGCTCTATATACAATCACGTACAATATTGCAACACCTTAGAATTCGTCGTTGAAATTCATCTTTCGTGAAGTTTCCCACAGATGTTCAATGTCAGATACTCGACGCCCTCCCTGTAATAATGACGCAATGTGACCAGATCATTGGACCCGAACATCTGTTCAAAATAGTACCTGCTGTTCAGCAGTTGGTGGCACAGCATGCTCTGATGATATCGTAGCAGTTGTGTTCTGCAAAGCATTACTATAGTTTTTTCTATTGAGAAATGGCGTAAGTAACAGTGCAAATTACATACGTGATGACTATGTGGATGCATATCTTCCTGGATTACATGTATGGTCTTTGCGAATGCATCCTGGAATATAAAGAAAGTTTTACAAAATATAAATATCATTTTCTTGAGCATCTTATGACTGTGCTGGTTGATGAGCAACTAGCTAAAAATCTTTGAACGAGAAAATGACAACAAAAAAGCAAATGATAACCACACTGTCAAGCTTCACACTTTATCCCTCTAAGTCCCCAAATTTCTCCGAGTAAACTTTCGAATACCGGTACATTTCAAGTAAAAGATATCGCAGCTAGTGTAGTCACAACCATTACTGCTTTTATTTCATTGTTTCCTTGTTCTCAAAACTAGCTAGCTGCTGTGCTTTTTGTTGTAACATCTAAAAATATCTTTAAAATGCAAAAACATCTTTCATCTTCAAAAACAATCTGCAGCCTTGAGTACGCCGTTTTTTTAAATCATCATGTACTGACCATCACTGTACTGATTAAGATTTCGACATCGACGTGAAAAGGAAAGGAGGGAAGGCTGAAGTACTAGACATTTTAACAATTGCGGCGTAAAGAGACTTCCTCTCATGTTGAAAATCCCGTACCGATCATCTCAAACTGAACTAAAATTACGTTTACTGAGTCATAAAACAATCACGCATAAGAAACGGCCTTGTTTGGAGACCTTGAATTACTCTACTCGAACCGAAAAGACTACCAAAACGCCAGTTCTTCGTTTTTGCTAACTACACCAAGATACTTCATCTGTTCCTTTATTTCCATTCCATCTTCTAGATAGTAATTAGAAGAGAAAACATTCTCAATTCCTCATGTGCAATAACGACGAAACTACGTTTCGTTCCTGCCCTTAGACGGAGAGAAGAACTTAAGACCCTCCCCGGAACTCTGTAAGACTTGTTTTTCGAATACTGAGAAGTACGCTTGTTAAAAGTGTTCTATAAATTATTTGTTGTTATTAACATTCGATCTATCGTTACCCAACCCTCACTTAAACTCCCTTCATCCAACTGTATGCCTTTGGTCCCTGTGAAATAATAGTTTCATCGATTCATTTGAGGGTCAAGTGATAACCTAGCATCCTTTTTAATTTTATGACTTTTTGAAAGACTGGAGAGAAAAAAGAGCTTTCCACTGTTGCGTCATGAGAAAAATTACGAAGTTTACGTTAACGTCACAAGATCTGTACCAAAGAGCCAAGAAATAATGTAGGATTTACAACTGCTGTGCAAAAAAGTAATTCACAAGAGTTGATATCATCAAAATCACCACGGGAGGAGTTTCGCGTGATATTTTTGACATTCTGTAACTTCCGTTGGTTATAAAATCGACATCAATGCTCGCCTAACAAAATTAAGAAACTTACGGAAATTCTCCGAATAGGGTTGAGTATACCGCCAGTTTCTGTTGTGGCATGACCATGTGAGACATTAGCCGCTACATTTGCCACATTTTCATTTATAGGCTTCTTAACATCCTGAAGCAGAATTTCAGCACGCACGAGATCTTCTTCCATCATTTTCACTTGCGAGACACAGAGACAGACAATCGACAGAGAGGGGCACACACACGACAACTTTTGCTGCAAAAATGCGAACAGAATTCATTGAATATACTTACAATTACTGGTTCTTTTTGCATACTGGTTGAGTGTGATCCGAGAAAGTCGGTTCGCTTGAGCACGGGAGGGGCGTTTATATAGCGCGAGTAGGGAGGGGGGTGGGGTGCTCGGAACTGTCAACATGTTTTCGTTAGGAGCCGTGGAGACCACGTGCTCACTACTATGCGTTCCGTGCATCGTTGCCCTAACCGAGTGATCTTTGGTTAAGCAGGGCAACCAGAATTAGCACGAACACGCGCTACACGATTTGTTAAGGCACGTGCACGAATGAGAAGCTGTACAAAGTGGAAAACTCGTAAATGACGTAGTGCCATGCTTATGACGTCATTTTAATTCATAAAATCTCGTTCCTCAATCAATCTTGAACTTTCAATAAAGATTTTAGGTCAAAAAATTGGGAAATCGAAAGCGAATACATTTCATTTTCGAAAGACTGCTATTTACTTACATGATGCTTAATTTGTTACTGCCGGAGTTTCGATAATACTGGGTTGACTAAAAAATAATTTCTTTTTGGCATGCAAATCTCCACCAACTTTTCTTGTTGGAAGTAGCTCAAACTTAAATTATCATTACTAAGTAAAGGAAGCTATACCCCAATATAAAAAATATTCGTTTTGGCACACAAATTAAAGCTTTTTTGTTCTTTGTCCATAATCTTTTAAAATAGTTTGCATTTTGTACTGTTATATCACTAGTCAGAACTTTCTATTATCACTCTAAAGTATAATTATCTCCCACCTATGTTTCCAAAAGCTTATTTTTGGAATTTCTAAGATTTTTTCATGCTGTGATGGATGTAAAAGTGAGCAGTTTGGTATCTGGATACACACAAGTTTTCTCTGTCTAACGAACAGCAATAGAAGTTGTGATCTGCCTCTATAAAAAAATGAGATTTTACCACGCTTGCGCACAATAAATAAATTAGGTAATAACTCTTTGCGCCTTTCCTTCATAGGAAACAAATTCTACCCAACATAATTCACATTTCGTTTCCCATTGAAGCTTCATTTCCGTAGAAACCAAACACTGGACAAAATTTTGTTTGCAGCATGTATAGCAGCCGCAATGGGACACAAAATTATTCTTTAAAACTAATATGAACAAGGGAGATTCTCTCTTTAACTATGAATATACGAAAAGATTGAACCATGATTTTTGATCATCCCGGAATGACATGAACGAAATATTAGGTTGAACCGAAAGTTCGTTCGCACCATTTTCAAAAAATCATAACTTCTCTCCGTCACGACATTTTGCGCAATTTAGATTCTATTAGAAAGCGTAAAGCATGTAGTTTCCAATAGTCCCTGGCGACTTTCCAGCATGTTCAGATTGCAGAGATAAAAATGAAAGAACGAAAACATCCGAAATTCGGAATTTTTGAGAAACAATTCCAAAAATCTAGAAACTGCGCGATAAAATCCAGAAAAGCTATTATCCTAACTTTTCTTATATTTGGTTACTAACTGAGTTAAGTTTGTGCTGATCGAGCTCTTCTTTCAAAAGTTATGATTTTTTGAAAAAAAATTCCGAAAAATCACTTTCCTAAGAATTCCTAAGAAATTGATTTTTCGGCATTTTTTTCAAAAAATCATAACTTTTGAAAGAAGAGCTTGATCAGCACAAACTTAACTCAGTTAGTAATCAAATATAAGAAAAATTAAGATAATGGCTTTTCTGGATTTTATCGCGCAGTTTTTAGATTTTTGGAATTGTTTCTCAAAAATTCCGAATTTCGGATATTTTCGTTCTTTCATTTTTATCTCTGCAATTCGAAAATTCTGGAAAGCCACCAGGGGACTGTTGAATACTACATGATTTACGCTTCCCGATATAATTTGAATTGCGCAAAATCGTCGTGACGGAGAGAAGTTATGATTTTTTGAAATTGGTGCGAACTAACTTTCGGTTCAACCTAATAGATATTCAAAAACCCTGCGATGGATAATTTGCTGCTCTGAGTTTTATGAGAGAGTTTAGTAGATAAGCGCATTGAATCAGGACGGTTGGATTTTGAAGCAAGTTTGCATTACGCCAGTGATAAAACTGAAGAATATAGCTTTTGAAAGAAGCTGAAACTTGGTCTTATGCCATCAAAGAGGTGCTGCAGTGAGAAGTAAGGTACCTGGCCATGAAGTCCTTTGCAATCTGGACTGGCGGTGAATTATTACCAGTGATCTAGGAAGTAAAATGCTGACTAGATAAACGGCTAACCCTCTCAATTCATCATAAAGGTTGCCACGCATTCTATATCCCCTTTCATGAATTGAGATGAGGTAGAATGCGTTCTGCGCGCTTGCAAAGGTATTGAAGACTCGCTTCTTATCTCCACCTCATCCAAACAATCCTGCAAGACCCATTCTGGTAATTCCTACAAGATTTTGTAGCTAAAGTTATTGAAAATGAACATGTGGCAGTCATTTCATCAACTGAAGGTTAGCTCGTATGTTTTTCTGTGCAGAAATTAACTCTGGCATGCGCGTGGATATAAAAACCGATATGAAAGTGGTGGTGGTAACCTGCAGTTTAGATCAAGTGAAGCATAAGCGCAACTTTTTATTGGCATCCATAGGAGAGAACTTTGAATTTCACCTTTTCCGCCTGTAGTTACCGTCATTCACGCTGGTCTGTTCCTGGTGATTTCTGACGTGCTTATCGCACAATGTAATGCAAAAGTATGACAATGTCTCACATAGGCTTAATTCGGGCTAATGATAAAAGTAGTGTAATCTTGTAAAAACGTTCTAATGCAGTTGGAATTGATAATCTTAGTGTTAAAGCCTACTTACAAGTATCACGGTTACAAACCATAATGTATGTTCTATTGAGAGGATTTTGAAATGATGTAGGCTGCTTCTGTCAGTCCAACTGCACTACAATCTTTACTGATCATTTCGATCTTCCTACTATGAGCCGGATTTCAATCGTGCTGACTGAATATGATGTGTATATTTTGAGCATGTTCAGTATAACCGGGGTAAAAACTTACCTCGGTTATACTGGACTGTAGTACCGGGGTAAAAATTTACCTAGGACCGAAGTTCAGTCACTGTTGATATGGCTAAACAGCCAGTTTTGTACCATAAAGAATACGGTTGCAAAACCTAATTTTTCTTCAATCGCTGTGGTAAGTTGTAGATTGGCCCTCTAATGTACGTACTAGACACATACTCCAGAAATGATTCTGCATCCCTGACTGCTACCTCTAGAAAGGAATCTCCTTATAATCATTTATTCCCTTGTTTGTGTTTTAATTGTGTTTCTATATAATTTAGCCGGACGAGACGGATACTTTTGAGTGGGTAGAAGATACATGGAGCCCAGTTCGAGCAATGTTAGAGCGAAGCGAAAATTCCCAAAATTTTTAAAGTACGTGGCTAACGCCACGCGCCTTCATTGAAAGAGTTTTTGACGTCTATACTCTCCTCTACATGGAAAAACTTCTTGGAGTACCCCAGTGATGGCGATATTTACACACGCGTCGTTTGCAAATTTTATTAGAATTTAGGAGGAGCAGGTATTCATCACTAACGTTTTACCCATGTACATAATGCATTGTTGAGGGGAATTCATTCTCGTACGTGCAATGCTGAGCTCTCCTATATTCTTTTCGTGAGTTTGAAGCCTTGTTATCTTTTGAAGTTTCATTAATATAGATCTTTCGGATCAACCGTTCAATATGTTGTGTTACTCGCAGACTTTTAGACCAGTAATCTAGATTCTTTTCAAGGCTTTGAAAAAGTAGAGAAGTGTAGAAAGGCACAAACTCATGAAACCGTTTCGAAGTTCCCATTTACTAAGAATGAATGTGCTGTTCAGCTTGCTCATTTCGAATTTACATTCAGTTCTCGATTCTCAAAGGAAATACGTGGTTCTTTGCCCTATACATTCAGTTCTCAGTTCTCAGTCATCAGGTTCTTTGCCCAGTTGGTGCAGTATCAGCGATACCAAACGCCTTCGTAAACTTGACTTCAGGCTCGCACTGAAATTAGAGAATATAATAGAGGCTTACTCCTCAGGTTTTTCGGTATTGAAGAAGTGGTGTGACTATCAATTTACTTTTCTTAATGCCGTTATCTGTACCCCCCACCTTCTTTGGTGTGACAGCTCAAATCTAGAAGCTTTACTAACCCACGCAGCTTCTTCTAGAATTTACGCGTGCGCTATATACATATGCTGTTGTTGTTGCTTATGACGCACTTCTGCTTCTAAAGATTTCTCTACCTATCAGGTTCCACTAGCTCACCCGATGCGCGTAAGGCTAAGGGCATACCTCACGCGATTTCAGTCGCGCCGCGATTTGGCAATACTCCAATTGTGCATAACTCATCGTAGGAGGTTTCTGAATGTACGAAAGATAGGGCACTTTATCAACTTACCAAAACTAAATATGCTGTGCATTTGGGCTCTGCATGTATTGAATTTGAAGGAATCTGGCAAGTTGCCAGATCGCTTGGCGATTGAAATCGCTTGAGGTATGCCCTTAGTTTAAATTGGAGCTTCGCAAGCTCGAGAACAAACTATCATGCCGAGTGAGCTGAGCAATAGATTTTTCTTTTTGGTACAACCTATTTTATTTCCTTTCTTCTCTGCATGCAAACTGCTTGACATGCACGAATAATTTTTTCCAATTTCTTCTTGTTTGAGAACGAAAAATTTGATTTTTATTTTTTTGCTAACAAGATCTTCATCCTACAAACATCTCTGTATAATATCAGCGATTCGTTAGGAGCAGGATGTCTCTGATATAATAGAATTGCATCCAGTAAACATTACTGCTTGTCATTGTTCAGTAAGCTGTAGTGCAAAGATTGACGCATTCCATATTCAATTTATTCAAGCATGCCAAATCAACAATCAACAATTTTATTAACATTGAAAATCAACAACGACACACAAGGCGGATACTGTTATTGTTGAAAGGAACTGTCAAGCTTCCACGCAAGCAACACTCCATGATTCCTAACATCAATAATCTTACAAGCATTCGCTTGATGGAAAAATATAATTCTACGAT